AGGATGCACAAATGGGGAGTTTATGGTATGATAAGCATACTAAAACAGTAATTATTCAGTGATAACTTAAAGCACGGTGGTTTTGTTCAGAACCATTGTGACCACATAGGGACCACTGAATGGGGACTTACAGTGGGGGAGACAGGGGCTCAACTGTGCACACAGCCTGGGCCGGTGGGAAATCACAGCCAAGGAGTGAGTGGGGTCAGAGGTGAGGGGAATTCATCAACCAGCCTAAAGGAATTCCCACTGAAGACAGGCTAGGGGGACCAGACCTCCAGGGAATGGTGAAGGAATGGTGAATCTGATCAGATGCTGAGGTGGGGGAGGGGGAGGGGTTCCTGCCAAACTGACTTCACAGAGTTCTTTGCTCAGACTGGATTTTATAAGCAAGTACAAAAATGGGCCTAGGAAAATTTTCCAAAGCCTGCCTAAAGTTTGGCTAGGTAGACACAGAGAAGGCCTGAAGAGAAGGACACAGGCAAGGGAAAAAGAGAGCAGAAAGGAGGCAAGAAAACACCAGAGACAGATAGCAACTTTAGAGATTTGTTTGAAACATTTGTAGACCAAGAATAAGATGAGGAAAAAAATGGTTTTTTTCTCATGGCCCAAGTAGACCCACAATGTAGACTACTAACTCTAGTTCAGCCATCTCATAAATTAAATGACTCCAAATAAAAATCCAGCACTTGGCACTATCAAACCCAATGGAAGTGACTGGGAAGACGTGTGCCCAGGGAAGCACATGCCAACCCCAGCCTGAGAGGAAAACCTACAGGCATGCTGGACCCACAGGGCCAAGGCAACAGGCAGGGCTTAGAAACCAGGAACAGCTGTATCCTTCCTAGTTGGACACTGTGCCTCACCAACCTGTTCTCACTCATGTGCATGGTAGTAGGAAGTTCAGCCAATCTGAGGTCACTCCAGAAAAGGCAGGCAGGCAGCCTGGTATTCAATGACATGTTTTCTGGATCTGAAGCAGCTACTGGATTTTCCCTCCAATTTATTTACCAACCCCCCACACCACCCCCCACCTTTTCTCTCTCATAGTAAAAGTTGCAGGCCTCCTCAACACCCTGTTTGTAATGCTGCACAGCAAAAGCAATAAATATGCACAATGATGTTTGCTTGGGAGCCTAGACTAGAAATTGAAGGCACAGGCTCCTTATTTTGGTGAGACATCAAACCACAATTAAATCTTCTTCAAATTCTCTGTTGTCCTGGTAACTGCTCTCTGCTTAGAGAACATGGAGGGCAAGATGACCCTAAAGGGTCTGAAAAGGAGAGGGAAAACTTATTAAGGGATTCTCTCTGATGCTTACACACACACAGGATGTGCCAGGCACCAGCACAGTATTGGAGAAAAGCCCTCCTTCAGGTTGTCCCCATCGCTGTGGTGTGTTCTAGGTTCTGCTGCCTCTAAATGACTATGTATGTTATAACAACATGCTTGGCAGCGGCACACCAGGAAAACTGACAACAAATAGCCTTTGGAATAACCAGACTGCAATCCTCTTAAACACATTTGGCTCCAATAGATATATTTAGACTTAGATGAAGAGTAGCTGGAGGATTTTTTTTTAAAGTGTCAATTGGTGTGAACGAATAAAGATGATTTTAAAAGGAGTTATACTGCTTATGGGTTTAGACCAACTGGAACAAAAAAAAAAAAAAAAAAGCCCCCAAGCTCAAGAGTGTAGCTCAACATTTGATTGTGGCAGACACTTTAATCCTGAGGTCTTGTACTGGCAGTCCTTCGGTGGTTCATTTCTCTGCATTTATTCGAAGAACTCAGACTTCTAATTGTAAATACACAAGAACTTTCAACTCCTGGGACACAATGTTCGTAAGCAACAAAGAAGGAAACGTTTTAAGTAGCAGTCATTTTTATTTTGGTTTAACAGATTTTTAGCAAGAAGACTCTGAATATGAATTGACTTCATTTTTAAATCCTGAAGAAAATTTCTAAGCAGCCCATAAGGTTCTACTTCAGTCACAGGCAATTAAGAAAAGCCTAGAATAGCAAGAAAGAAAAATGACAAAACTTGTTTGGACATTGGAGAGAAGAAAAAAAGTCACCAGTTACATTAGCCCCATTCCCACACCCTCCCCAAGCCTCGTGTCTTTATATTCCTACAAACACCTGTTCCCATGTTTGGGGTGGGAATGGAGCAGGAGAGATGGTGAAGTGAGTCCAAAAAAGCACATCATAAGACTAGTTTTAACAAAGTAGTATGAGCATTAATAAACATGACGGCACAGACTCTCCCCTACAGGCAGGCCATTCTTCCCAAGGGTTCAGTTTCAGGCCCTGCGTGATCACTGAGGTCTCACTGGACAAAGTAAACACTTGTTAGACTTTGGGTCTTTGTTTTAAGGTACTTAAGGACCCCCGGGGAAGGCATTTTCATATACTTCTTGACGACATACAATAAGCTTACAGATCTATGGGGAAATGACCTGGACATGGGCACTCAGAGTGCTACCCCAAACAGAGCAGCCACAGCTCCTCAGATTTCTTGCAGGTGGCGTCTTAAAGTGGCCTTCACCCTATTCTCCCAGCCTCTAGGAAAGCTACTTAATGATGCATAACACTAATTATTATAAAATAAGCCTGAGTCCGGATGGCAGCTGATCACGCGGCGGAAAATCACACTTTTTCATGGCCTATTTTCTTTTAAAACGTGTGCCCTTTCCCCATGCCTAATGCATTCTGTATATGTAAAATAAATACTCTTCCCAGCAGGCCTCTGGCTCCAAGGCCTTAAACCTAATAAAGGAGTTCTGTCGTTTAATGGCCCTTAAATGCTCAACATCTTTTTCACTTAATGTAAAATCCATCTGATCTAATAGCTGTGACTGAATTATAGAGATATAATTTTTCCATTAAATGTTAATCTTCGGACTTGGCAGAGCAATACACGCTCTAAATTATTAAGAAGGCAGTAACCTCTCCAAACTCTTTCCAGAACATCCCCAGGACGCCACCATGAACAAACTTGCACACCTGTGTAAAATATAAAATAAAAATCCGGCCAGTTAGGTACAACCTGATGACGCTGTTTTTATTGTCTCCTCCACTATTTCGATGAATGGTATATTCATGTTTACATACTAACATGTCCACACACACAACATGATTGGGCACGTTGTGTGTGCATATCTCTGGGGAAGCAGCCCTCGAAAGTCCTGTCTCTTCCACTGACACATGGTAAGAGCAGGTAGTTCCCATGTTTGGAGGTGGGATGGGGCAGGAGAGACAGCGAAAGGAGTACGAAGCACATTCTAAGACTAGTTTCAACAATGTAATATGAGCATGTTATAAACACCACGGCACAGACTCTCCCCTGTGGGCAGGCCATTCTTCCCAAGAGTTTAATTTCAGGCCCTGAGTGATCATTGCAGACTCACTGGACAAAGTAAACATTTAGACTTTAGGTCTTTGTTTGATTAGGGCCAAGACAAAAGATGCAAGTAAAAAGCAAGCCATAAGAAAGACTCAGCTTCCTGTCACTGTGGCAAAATACCTGAAATAATCAACTTAAAAAGAGGAAACTGTTAATTTTGGGCCTCTGGGAAGCAAAGGGAGAGAGGAAGGAGGCAGGGTCCCAATGTTCCCTTCAAGGGCACCCCCAATGCCCTAACTTCCTTCTACTGGGCCACATCCTAAAGACTCCTCCACATCCCAACAGCGCCCCAGGCTGAGGACCAACCTTAACACGTGGGCCTTTACCGGACATTTAGATCCAAATCATAACAAAGACTAAGCTAAGTTCACCTGGAATTTTAGAATACAGGTATAGCTAGTGGTTACAGTCACTGTAACATTAAAATTTAAAGAGTTCACTGCATGAATATTTGACTTTAATACATATTTCTTCTTAACATTGACTCTCAGACAAAAGAAATGAGCTTTTCTGATGAAGCAGGAGTGGTAGGAAGGAAAATGAGGACAGAAGGATGAAGGAGAGCACTCCTACTGGAATCCTTCATTCTCCTAGGGAGACTTGCAACACTCAGACTAACAGCCCACCTTCTTGCATGTGACACAGTCTTTCTGCGTACAGAATGGCAAGGGCCAGCATCACCTACCATCTGTGCTCAAATTGTCTACTAACTAGAAAGCTTCAGGGTCTGTGTTATATACACAAGCTCTGCCTCTCATATCAAAAGACGGGTGACCAAGACAACAGGACTGGCTGAAGTGCCTATCATCACCTGCAATGGACCCCACTGTTTTCTAACTCCAAATCCTCCAGACAGGAAATGGCCTAGTTCCACTTCCAACTCTTCTAGAAGGATGTTCAACAATATTCTACAGAAAACATTTTATTGATGGCTGAAGACACAATAAAACTTCCATACGGCTTCCCTTCCCCCTCAGGAAGGAACACACCACCAAACAGGAGCGCTCAGTTTCGCACTTTGCTCCACTGTGGAGCAGGCGCTGACCTGGAACAGGAAACAGAACTCATGATGAGAGACTTATGTAAACTGTAGGCATTTACCCAGAGAACTAAAAATGAACCCAATCCTGACTTCTCACTGCTGTTTCCACACCAAGGAATCATGACGACTTATTCTGTGGTTATTCTGTGGTGTGAGCAGCTATTCTGATGGGCCTTTTCCCTGTTACACAAAGATGGGAGGAGAAAGACTCTTTTGAGCATCTGGTTCAGGATGCTCGAAGGTTATCATGAATGATTTAAGAGCCCTTGGCTGGAATGGCCATCTAGGTGGGTGTTTGCTAAGAGGCAAATTAGTAATTTCCTGTGTGAATAGTAAATAAAATAGCAATAAAAACAAGACACACAAACTTTCCTTAATGAGATGCAGTTAGCAAAAAATAGTTGGTTAGAGAATTTACTATAAACATGTCTGATTTTATTACTTTCTTGCTATTTATATTCTTACAGCATTATGGCACTTTTGTCTAAAATCTTAAAGACCTACTTCCTAAAATCAATTCTCTGACGCAAACTTCGAGGAAAGCTGCTCTTACATTATTAATCCCATCAGTACAACCTTCCTATAAATAAGCACAAACATTTGGAGACTGCATAATGAGTGCTTGATTACTACAGTAGCAAACGTCAAAGTAACTGCAAAAACAAAGTGCAAAGTTTTTGACACTTTGAAAAATCTAGCGTATCATTTGTCATTGCTCTTGTTTTAAATGCCATGGCAAGAAAAAGCGCTACAAGTAAAATTAAGACACTGTCATAGAGATTACGAGGTAATCTTTATTAATTCCTGAACTATTCCACCCTGCCTGTTCTTAATCTAAATGTAATTTAGCACTGCAAATCACATTCATCTGAAAAGAAACTTGCTTTAAAAGGCATAAAAGACACCAGTGCAAGAAGGGGACCTCTGCCTCCACAAGAAGCCAAAGGCACCCAACCAGCACCTCAGCAGATGCAGCCTGGTCAGCCAAGCCACAGCACTTCACAGCCACACCAGGCTCAGGGTGGACAAGGACCTGAAGTCTTCTCATCCATGCAAAAGTGCCCACCAACCAAATTAGCTTCTTTGAAATAAATCTTCAGACGATTCTTCCAGCCTAACCCGTCTTCGTAAGACCCATTCACATGGCTCATGTTTTGTTAGGGATTCCAAGGCCTGAGAGTATACTGTTGACTCAGGGCAAAGAGTTATGTTGCTTGCCAAACTGCAAAATTAACATATATAGAATATAAAATTTGAACTGATGCTGAAAAAGTCAATAACATACTCATCTAATTAAAAAATAAAAATCTACTAATGGAACAAAATATATTTTATTTGAATTATACTACCAGAGCAAGGCCCTGAGAGCCCTAGAGTCGCACCAGAGCGCTGAGCACCAGCAGGGTAAGGCAGATGGCTGGGCGGTGGCGGTGCTAGCACACCAGCCCTTGCCGCATTTGTATGATCTGCAGCAGGGCTGCCTGGACATCTTCATCCATGTGACCCTGGAGAGAAAGGAGAGCAGGAGCCATGCTTCATCTCACCTTCACTTACACAGAGTTTGAAAGACAAAGGCTTCATCACAGGAATCCCAGGTTGGCTGTGATTCACCCTCATCATCTTCACAATATCCCACAGGAAAAACTGCCAAAGGGAGGGGAACTCTTGCAGAAATGAAGCAGGGAACTACCTGCTCTTGACATCCAGAAAACAAAGGGACAAGCCTCCCTCCCTTTTAATAATGGCTCTGGTAATTAGGGACGTGTAAATCATAAATGAACTAAGCAAACTGGTTTTGTTTTTTTTGGTGGTAACGGTGTTTGAGCTCAGTCGTGTACTCTACCACCTGAGCCACCCCCTCAGCCCTTTGTGCTCTGGTTATTTTGGACATAGGGTCTTGCTTTTTGCCCAGCCCAGCCATCACTGGGATGAAAGGTGTGCACCTCCATGCCCAGGTTTTTTTCCATTGAGTTGGAGGTCTCATGAACATTTGCCTGGGCTGGCCTAAAACCACTATCTTCCCAGCCTCAGCCTCCCAAGTAGCGAGGATTACAGGCGTGAGCCACTGGGTGCCTGGGCTGAGGTTTTTCTTTTTGGTTGTTGTTGTTTTAATTAGAAAGGTAATAAAATCTACAGGTGTAATTTTTACATAAATAGAATCATAATGAATCATAATATCATTTGGCAACTTGCGTTTTCACTTAGTGTCACAGAAATCTTTTTCCAGAGCTACTAATCACCTTATGGTTTTGTATGACATCCTGTCCTAGGATGCGTTCCAGGTCTGCACGTATTTCTCTAGATGGAAATTTAAGGTGTATCGATCTTTAGCATAGGTACAGATCCTCGTGGCTGTCCACAGCGTTCTTTACTGATTGCCATAGACTTTCCAGTCCCAGCTGCTTGTCTCTCTACTAAAGACAGCACTAAAGATCCCCTCTTCTGTCAACCATTCATTCTTCCTGTTGCTCCCCCTCCACTGCCTACCAGGAAAGGCAGGATTACTGTCTTAAGAATTGGCTGTCAAAAACTACCTTCATTATTTGATCCAGTTCTCCTTTTAAAAGTGATCTTATGTTCAAGCTTCCTCTTAACACTTTCTTTCCTGGTTGTTGTTTTTTTTGTTAACAGTGTGGCCTAACACATTTCAAATCAAATAATGCCTATTATTTTCACTTGTCACTCTAACATTTGTCTCTTTTAGTAAAAAAATCTATTTTGAGAACTGGGGGATGCTGTTCATATGGTTTCTACAGAGTGTAACAATACATCCATTACGTGTTAAACTTGTCTTAGGTATTTGATTGTTTAAATGGCTTTCTCAGTACATCCCTGAAGAAGAGCATTTATAATCAGAGTTTAAAGTTCAGTAAGTAAATATTACCAACTATTTTTCTTTAATTATTACAGTTCTATGCACACCTGCTTGTTACTGTCACACTTTTCCTAAGCTACAGGGAACACATGAAGTCCCTTCTGCTCTCCTCCTAGCCACGTGTGGATGTCAAGACCTCCCTCCAGCTGGCGACAACTGTGAGCGTGTGTGGCCGTCACACGTTGCCAAACTGTCTAAAGAATGAGTGACAAGCAGATGGAGACAACACTAAATTTAAGATGTTGTGTTGCCATATAGCTTTGTAAATTTTCTGAGAGATATGCAAGCCATGATTAAAAGAAACACAATTATTTTTAAATAAGCATATGGGTACAGCTACTTTAAATGTCAATTACTTTCACATAAATTTACTTAAAGATAAAACACTACTTCATTTTCTGTAAAATAACAGCCTTTACAAAGGACCAACAGTTCCTCACCTGGACAGCACTGAGCAGGTGTGTCCGGTAGATTGCGATTACCTCCTGGTGCTGCCTGTCAGCGTCCTGCAATGGGAAAGATGACAGATCAGAAGTTCAGTGTTCACATATCCACACACAGAAGCCATGACAATGCTGTCCTCAGAACTGACGCTACAGAACTGTGACATTGTGACTAAAGGGCTCCTGCCACACGTGGAACAAACCACCCAGGGCCCTACCAGATGCTGAGTTCTACAACATGAAATAGGATAACCCTTTCCGATGAATACATGGGACTACTCACAGAGAAAGCAATGTCACTTTCCCAGGTGATGCAGAATTATGGCCTTGGTTTACTGCCATGACCTTGTCCAAACACTTACAACTTAGGTACTGGATTCCTGCTAAGGCTTCTCACCTCCTGAAAACTGCCCGTGTTCCTTACCATGCCTTCGAGACCAAGATAGCTCTTCCCCCACATCACTTTTGGTTCAGAAACCTTGGGTGACACTTCTTCACAATAAGAGATCCAACCTCATGAGCTTGGTTCTCAATGTCCTGCAAATGTGGCCTCAAATCTTTGCTCCAGACACACCCTTTTCTCACTCCTGGCCACACCACCTGCACTCTATCCCCAAGGCCCTATTCTCACCATTGCTTTACCTGGAAAGCCCTCTAGCTTCCTTTTACCTCCAACACGCCATCTACCTTACAAACTCAGGCTAAGAACTCCCTTCTCTGAAGCTAGCTTCCCCAACAGCCCTCTTTCCTTCCTGGGAAACTGCTGTAGTTTGGATGTGCCCTCACCCCACCCCCGCCCCTGAGTTCGAATGCCCTCATTGGATGGATTAACCTAACTATCACAGGAATAGGTTCTTTACTACAAGAGTAGGGTCCTTATGAAGGATGAGTTGGGCCTCCCTCTCTCATTTTTGCTCGTCCATGGGATGCCTTCTGTCTGCCATGTGCTGACAGAGTGAGAAGGCCCTCACCAGATGCAGCCTCGCCATCTTGGGCTTTGCAGCCTGCAGAACTGTGAGCCAAGAAAGCTTCTGCTCACCATATATTACCAGGCTGTGGTATTCTGTCATGGCAGCACAAGTGGACTAAGACAGAACCCTTGTCACTTAGAATCTGGTACTGCATCTCAGATCTATGTTTGACATCTCTCATCTTGCTATTTTCATTGCTATGGATCTACATTTTGTGTCTCTGATTACCCAGAACTCCTTGGGGACAGGAACGGTGTTTTCTCCTTAGCACAGTGTCATGAACATAATATATAATAAACAAATATTTCTAATTATTGGAGGGACTACCGCATTCTTGTGATAAGATCCAATCAGCATTTTGCTATCATTAGTTTGAAGACCACCAATACTAAAAAAGCAAATGCTTTAAAAAATTATGTCATGATAAAGTGAGAGCACACAAGGGAGGGATGAGGATAGGTAAGACACCTAAAAAACTAGATAGCATTTGTTGCCCTCAATGTAGAGAAACTAAAGCAGATACTTTAAAGCAACTGAGGCCAATAAGAGAAGGGGACCAGGAACTAGAGAAAAGGTTAGATCAAGAAGAATTAACCTAGAAGGCAACACACACGCACAGGAAATTAATGTGAGTCAATTCCCTGCATAGCTATCCTTATCTCAACCAGCAAAAACCCTTGTTCCTTCCTGTTATTGCTTATATTCTCTCTTCAACAAAATTAGAGATAAGGGCAAAATAGTTTCTGCCTGGTATCGAGGGGGTGGGGGGGAGAGGGAGGGGTGGGGCGGGGGGGGTAAGGGAGGGGTGGGGGAAGGGGGGAGAAATGACCCAAACACTGTATGCGCATATGAAAAAAAAATTATGTCAATCAGCTTTGCACAACTTCAAAGAGTTCATTTTGACTTATGGTTCAGAGGTTTCAGCCCATGGGTGGTTGGCGCAGGTGCTTTTGGGCCTGTTGTGAGGTAGTACATCATGGCAGGAAGCACAGGGTGGAGCAAGCCATTCATCTCATGCAGGACAGAAAAAAAAGAGGAGGAGGTGGGTCCCAGTAGCCCTTTCAAGGGCACACTCCCAATGACTGGAAGGCCTCCTACTAGGCCTCACCACTTAAAGTCTCCAACTACCGCCCAAGGCACGAGCTGAGGACTAAGTCCAGATCCACACTACCAATAACTTTCTTCTATTCAAAACTAACTCATATCCAATTCAGCAGAATAGGAAAGTTTTAGCAGGGCCTACATCTGATTGGGTATGTTTTACTTAGCATTTCAATGTACACTAGCTCTTTAATTAGGAATGCAAACAAACAAGTTATCAGTTTTTATCAACCTATTTTATGGATGGGAAGCCAAGGGCTAAGGAGAGTGTTCCATGCCCTCACTCTTGAGTGGTAAGACGTAGACCAGAGCTCCCATCCTTAGCTTCTGTGCCTTCTTGCAGTGTGTAAGCTATGAGGTACAGAAGGTGATAAACGCCCCCTTTCTGTAGTGGACTGACTTTAGAGTGCATTTCAGGAGAAAGATGCTGGATTGGGAGTCAGCCATCCCAGTGCCTGACCCCATGCATCAAGTACTTCAAGCTTAACTTCTTAAGAATTAAACAGAGAGCCGGGTGCTGGTGGCTCACACCTATAATCCTAGCTACTTGGGAGGCAGAGATCAGAAGGCTCAAGGTTCAAAGCCATTTAAGCGGGCAAATAGCTTGAGAGATCCCATCTTGAAAATACCCAAAAGGGCTGGTGGAGGGAGTAGCACAAGGTGTAGGCCCTGAGTTCAAGTCCCAGTACCACAAAAAATAAAAAAAGAAAGAAAGAAACAGAGGGAATAAAACCTGTTTTGTAGGGTGGTAATGAAAATAGTTTAGAGATAAAGAAAGTAAAATATTTAACCTGGTGCCTGGCATAGAGTAGGCACCAAATAAACAATATTACCATACTACCAATAGAGGTAGTTTTTGTCCAGAGTGATTTCACACTTGGCTGTGAACAGCTACGAGCTATGAATCCACCAGATTCCCACAGTTCCCATGTCAGTCCCACACCCCCTCGGGGTGGCCTGTGCCCGCTCACTCACAGCCAGCTGCTGTTGCAGGGTCTTCACTTGGTGCTGCAGAGTGTCCACCAGCTGGCTCTGCCGCCTGGTGGGGCTGCCACCGCTATAGGTGAGCTGGGAGAGGCCGCTGAGCGCCTGCTTCAGTCTTTCTACATCACTGAGCAGTTCAGTTATCTTTGGAAAAGGAGAAAAACATTGTGTGAGAAATGCACATCATTCATGTATTCATTTACAATCACCACTTCACACAGAAGTTATGCCTTACCGGAGATGCAAACTCTGTCTTATGAATCAGAATACTGAGGTGGAATATGGCTGAGAGAGTCATCAACAGTATAGACAACATATAATTAGTATAATTTCTTAAATTCCTCTCAGTACATTTCCTACATAGGCAATGCCAAATTAAGAATAAACATGGTATATATCCTAAGATTTGAACGCAAGCTTAAGTCTTGTTACTTTTAAATAATAGGATTTGTGAAGTATAAAAAGTATTTTCCAGGCAATGTTTGCAACATAAGAAGGGAGGGGTTTCTGATCAACAGAGTACAAAAAGCAAAAGAGCATGTTTCATGGCACCTGGAATTAACTTTCGTGCCTGGTTCCTTCCAGGAGTTGTATGATTGAACAGATGGCCACACAGAGAAGCAGGTATGATAAGTATGTACTCCTCCATTCCTAACTGCCTTCCACACAAAGACAGAATGTGAATTCTGGATCTTTGGGAAGATGTGGTGGACAGCAGTTCAGTGCCTCTCCACTAGGGGGCTAATCTGAGCCTGCTTCACTCACGGCTGTTTTTCCAGAACATTTAACAATCAGTGAATGGGTAAGACCTCAGTCAATCTTTGACCTCATCTCCACAGCACAGACACTGACGGCAGTTACACAGCTGTTGAGTAGCCTACAAAAAAAAAAAAAGCTGAGTAACTAGCCTCATGTACCATGAGGAGGAAAAGAGAAACAGCGGGGTGGAGGGAGGAAAGCGGGTAACTCTAACATGGTAATACACATGAGCTAAATGCATGGCAAAGCCAGATGAAGCATGTGTCCTGGAAGAGACCATGACTGCTGGCTGGCCTGGACAGTGAAGGCTTTAGGCGGGAGGATGAGGTGTTACGGAACGCACAGAAGAAGGGGCCGGGTGCTCTGTAGCGAGAGATGGGGGACAGATGTACAATGACTTGAAGGGCTCAGTGTACCGGTATGGCTAAGTGCTAAGATCGAGTTTGGACACTCCCCAGTGGCTTGGTTTCTTGAGCCTACCCACAACTTTTGTCCCTCCTCTACAACACATTCTCCAGGTACCCTAAACCCACTAGATTCTGACTACTTTATCTATGAGGCAAATGAACCTTGGTCTCCCCCATCTTTCTTTGACTCTTAGCTGTACCAGCTGAAGGAACAGAATTAAAAATACTTTTCAATTCAGAACCTTTGGCACACCTGTGGTCAGACCAGAAGGTGACACTTTGCTCCTCTGTGAACCAGTCTGTGGGATACTGCCCAAGTGCGCTGGCAGCCCTGTTCTGGGGTTTCTGAAGACAGTGCACAGACAACTTCATGCCTACCTTGCGATCTTTCACCTCCAGTTGTTTCGCGGATTCCTGTATTTTTTTCTGCAGCTCCGTGATGGTTGTTAAGGACTTATCACATCGTTCCTTCTGGTCCTCAATCTCCTGCTCAATGCTGAGGTGAAGGGATCCCTTCTCATCTTTTGCAGACAATTTCTTCTTTTTGGCATGCAAAACCTCCTCACATACTTCATCATATTTTCTATTTAGATTGGCCAATTTTTCATTTAAGTTGGAAATCTGAGTCTCCAAATCACTTTTGGTTGCTTTGTATTTAGACAAATCTACCACTTCTCTGGTCTCTAATTTCTTTAGTGCCTGTTTAGTGTTCTGAACCTCAGTCTGGAGCTTGGAGACTTCCTCGGTTTTACTTTGGCTTTCTTCTTCCTTCTGTCTCAAGCTAGCCTTCATGAGCCCAACCTCTTTCTCGAAGGCTTCCTTAATCTGCAAATGCTCAGTGAGGGGCACAGAAGAGTTCTTCTGATTCTGCAGCAGTTGCTGCAGCTTGCTCACTGTCTGCTGCTCCTTCTCATAACATCTCTGCTTATTCTTCAGCTCCTCTGTTAAATTCTCAATTGTGCTGTTGAGAGACTTCTTCAGAGCCTCAACCTGTTCCAAGGGGATGTGCTGTTTCTGCAGGAGATTTTGGGTGGCGAGGGTCTCAGAAGTCTGTTTGGCCTTTTCTTCCATCAGCTTCTCCTTCTCACTCTGCACCTGGGTATATTTCTGTGACAGATGTTTCAGTTGTTGGCTCAGCTCTCCTGCTTTCCTGCTTAGTGTTCTCTCCACGTCCCGGGCATTCTCCATCACAGCATTCTTCTCTTTCACCTCTTCCTGAAGAGTGGAAATCTCCATCTTTAACCTGTTGTTTTCCTCCCTGCTCACCTTGACCTCCTCTTCTCTGATACTGCACTTGTGTGTCTGCTCGGACAACTGCTCTCTTAGCTCTTTCTCTATTGCTTTGAATTTCCGCTCACATTCTTCAAAGCTAATAATCGGAGCATACTTTAGCTTGATGCATTCCTGGATCGTGTCAAGTTCCTTCTTCTGGGCCTTAATTTCAGCATGCAGCGTCCGAATCTCTTCCTGGCCCTGGTTGTAGTTAGCCAGGATGGCAGCATTTGCCTCCTGTGCCTCCTTCAGGCTCCGACTCACAGTGCTCATCTTCCCCTCGTGCTCCTCCAGGCTGATGTACTCGGCTTTCATTTGGTTCTGAGTGTTTTCCAGGTTCCTTTTTAAGACTTCATTCTCATCTTTTATTTTTACAAATGCTTGATTTACATCTTCAAACCTCTTCTTTACATCAAGTAATTCCTTGTTAGTCTTCTCCAGCGTGCTGCTCAATGCAGTTTTAACATCTTCATGGGTTTTGGCTGGCACATACTGGTTACTCAGAGACTTTTTCAAGCTAGTGTTTTCAGACATGAGTGCGTGGATTTTCTCTTGGTCTTCACCACATTTCTTATTCAGTTCAGACAGCTGTTTCTTAAGTTCGGCGATACTGGATTTCAGAGCTGTTATCTCCTTTTCATGCTTCTCGGGAGGTATGAACACAGTTTCCAGGCGGTTGACACTCCTGCTTAGCCTGTCATTTTCCATCAGCAGCTTCTCAGTTTCCAACTTCTTTTCTGTGTATTTTTGTGTAACCTCTGAAAGCTTTTTATTCAAACCATCAACACTGACATCATGCGACCTTTTCATCTCTTCACTTACTTTTACAGGGATGTAGTGATTCTTCATTTCGGCGGTGAGGTCATGCACCTGCTGGCTGAGGGCCTTCTTATCCACATGTGCCTTGTCCACCTCCTTTTGCAGAGCCTGGTTCTTCAGTGTGAGCTCGGTGACCTTTGCCCCCAGCTCTCCTGACTTCTGCTCTAGCCGGCTCTTGAGCTGCTCATGGTCCTCTGGTCTGATGTGCTGAGCCAGCCTGGCCCTCACATTCTCAAGTTCCCTCTTCAGCTGTCTGATCTCGCTAAGTGACTTCTCATACTCTTTCTCCATCTCTACTAGTTGTTGTGCTTTCTCATTCACTTCACTGGATAGCAGGCTCTTCATGTTTTCAAACTTTTCCGTTGGAATGGAAAAGGCCACTTTTGCCAACAGTTCCTTCATTTGCCCTTCCATCTCTGTGACCTTTCTTCCTTTCTTCTCTCGGTCCATTTCACACATGCTAAATTCCTCCTGCAATCGCTTATTCTCTTCCATCAACTTGCCTTCATCCCTCTTAAACTCTTCCATCAGTATCTCATTTTGTTTGATTTGGTTTCGTAACTTCCCCAGCTCTGCGGAGGCACCTTCATACTTGGCCTTCAGGTCTTTCAGCTGGTCCTTCAGCTCCTCCGTGGCTCTGTGGTTCCCTGCAGTGGCCTCACTGGTGAGGTGCTCCTTGAGGGCAAGGAAATGTGTCTGCATCTGCTTAACCTTCCCTTCGGACTCGTACATCCTCTTCTGGACATCTTTCAAGGCATCCTCCAACTGCTTTATCTGCTCATCTGAGTCCTCCTTGACTCTCTCACACTCTAGCGCGAGGGCCTTGCACTCGGCCACCTTGTGAGCCAGTTCGTTCTGGAGCTTGAGTCGGTCTTGCTTTGCTGAATCATAGAAAGTTCGCATTGTTTCCAACTCTTTCTTTAAAATCTCACTTTCAGAGTAGGAGGTTTGACTGGGTAAAGAGAACTCCAGTGGTCTTAACATGGATCTGCTTTGCATATGGGCTGGCACACCTGTGGAGGTGCACTGAAAAGGAGGAAAAAGACAAGATGTCAATCACAAAGGAGACACTTACTATAATTATCATTACAGAAACGTACAGAAAGTCTTCACATCATTGGGAGTTCAGCAGTTTCAGATTAAGAAGATGGGAACATCACAATACTGATTGTTGTGGTTAGAAAAGCAGTTCTGGGAGGATCTTACCCTTACCACACTCACAACACTCAGTTCTGCTCACTTACATCTATTTCTGGAAGATCAAAGGAGAAAAGTAGTGTGACCTCTGGCCTCTCTTTCTTTCCTGCTTTATAAGACTCACCCATAGCACAAGAAGATCAATTCTATGAAAACATATTTAACATTTCCATATTCTATGGGATAAAGTGTGCTCAGAACTCTTAAATTCTAAAGTAAGCAATCAGTACTCTTGAATAAAAGTACTGTAATTTTAATATGCAAGTAATTTCATAGAGTTACATATCATTAAACTTCTAATAAAATATATGACTTATGAGCACCTTTGCTATTAACTCCAACATGTTCTTTAAATTTTAAAAATATCACCAAAATAAATGTAGCTAGTGTGAGACTTGTCAAGGGAATGTCAGCCAACTCACGAGAAAAAAAAAAAAGAAACAAGAAACAAATTTTCTTCTCTCAGGAAGATAAATTAGAATTCAGTACATAATCTTAGTACAGAATTTGATGGATATCTTGTTCCCTCTATTAATTAGTGCCAACAAAAAAGAAGTATAATTACTGAGTGAAACAGTCAAATATCAGAACACATAATCATGAAAGACTCAATGTAACCATTTTCCTTTTCTCCCCACAGCCAATCATGATGCACTTTACAAGTACTAGCTCACTGAGTATATCCTACCACTTCAGCGGCAAACTTTACCGTTGTTCAGTTAAACTGAAACTGAACAACTCCATATGAAGAGAAAGAAAATACTTGAATGTGAAATGATTTCCTAGCCTTGATCCACTTCTACATTGTCTCAATTCTTTAATTATCTTTAGATTAATGTGATCTGCCAAGAAATTATATCCAGTGTCACAATTTCCATGCTCGTGTTAAGTATAACCGAATATTTAGCCAATCTTCTTAAGTACTGGCGACCATCCTCTCCACTTAGACTCTTAGAATGTTCCGTCTTAAAGAGATTTTAGACATCATCTAGGCCTCCTTGCTTGCCTACCAAGGGAGATAAATAAAAAGGCCTCGGAGGCCCAGTATTTATCAGTTCTGCAGGCTGCAGAAAGTACAAAACACACAAACCTTGTAGCTGGTAGAAAATAAAGGTGAGCTGCAGAAACATGGGTGAGAAAAGCAGCCAGCTCTACCTCTTACAAGTTTCATTTTGAGGTGAATATCCAAAGCACAGAAGGTAGATTTAATGGTAAGGAAAAATACACTTGAAAGCTAAAAAATGCTTTTGAAAGCTCCTATGTCTGTGGGCTTCTGGAGTGGCTCAAGCAGTAAGAGCACCTGCCTAGTAAGTGTGAGGCTCTGAGGTCAAACCCCACTAGTACCAAAAATAAGTAAGTAAAATGGGGAAAAAATGATCCTATGTCTTCCCCTTTCTATGGAGAATATGAAGAGTTAACTGATGGTTGGCATGAAGAGAGGCTTTGCTACCAAGGACAGCACACTGGATCTCAGTGTCACCGCCCACATGCTAGAGGGCACCAGATACAGCAACACCTGTTATTAAAGTCAAGGAAGCAAGACCGGCTTTGATAACAAAAACCATACTCAGCATACACGCTTAATAAGTATACAATTCTGCTGCTTCTTTTTATAAAGGCACAGATGTGTTCTTTAAAAATTGCTTAAAATTAAAAAAAAAAACAGTATTACCTGTGTGTCTGTCATATACATTTGACCTTGTTTAAGAAGTGTATCTTCTCTTCCTAAATAAGAAATACAAATCAGTAACACCTTACCTTAAATATCCACACCAAATAAGCTAAGCATTATTGGTATAATTTCCTATCCTTTATTATGTAATCAAAGAGCAACAGGTATAACATAATTTTTTTTGTTCTAAAATATCCACACTGATTTCTATAAATATAAGGAAAGTATCTGCAGCCTCCTGAACAATAGATGCTAAGTTGGTTTTCAGTAACATGTCAAGACAGGCTACATTGCCTACATGATTATTATGAAATACACAGTCAAGTAAAAATGGTATTCTTTAAAATTTACAGGATAAACATTACTGTTGTACTTAGCTAGAGAGTAGTATAATGCTCACTAGAAAAGGGAAAGTAGATTTTCTAGAAAATTTGTGTAAAATTAGAGAGTAAATGAAAGTGAAGACGAATTATGTTTAGTCCCAAAACAATTAATAAATAAGTAACTGCTTACGGAACTTGTAAACTGCTTATCGGCAGTGAGACTGATTTTTTCACAAACAAAAAAACAATCTATTTCCACGAAAAACAGCCCCAAATGTCACAAGATAAATGTCTACTACTCAACAAGGCAAACATGGTAGTTATACATCATGCCATTTAAAATCCAGGTGGTAAGGAAAGTCAGAGCCCACTGACCACCAGATTTTATACCAGAGGCCACGGGTCTCCCGTGAACCTCTCCCATGCACACAAGCAGGCACTGAAGTGCACCAGCAGGAGCCTTTCGTACAGTCAGACAAATCAGTAACTGGGTGAACCTGATCTGGGAGAACCATCATGACATCTATACACTTATACTTACTGAAATGACTTCCTGATCCTGAGTGATCACTCTGAAATCAGAAGCACAAATTGAAACATTTTAGGATGCTTCATTTTGTCATGCTCTGTCTATCTTATCTCTAAACAATTTGGTCATTTTAAAACCACATTTTTGACATTCCTTGCTTTTCTCCAGAGTATTATTCTACTCCACAAAAAGACACAGCACCAGCAACAGAGAGGTCAGTTCAAAATAAACCGCTTCACTAAGCGTTTTAATAAGAGCAGCCAAGGTTTCAAGGAGAACTTTATGCTGGGCCCCAAGTGACCGAAATAACTGTCAAAGCCTAGCCCCGGTGCTGCTTCACTTCAGAAGGAAGGAAGGGCCACACTGCAGCAAGGGTCCTTCACCCACCACCAGTAGAGCAGGAGCCCTGCCTCATGCCTCAGAGACACCAGTGGAATCTCTTTTTTCAGAATTTATACAACACTGTTTACTTTTAAAAGCAGGAAACGAAACTGAGGCAAAGACCTACACACAGTAATAACTCCAAGAATGCATCAGTTAGGAAAAAGAGAATCACAGAGATACTTCAGATGCCCTGAACAGATTTCTCTTTCTCCCCAGCAGGGAAAGTACAAAGACTCTATTATATAAGTTAAAATACTGTACTTCAAAGTAAGGGTAAATGGGGGGAGGGTGAAAAAAGTAAGGATAAGCAGACATAGCTAATGTGCCTTGAGTGAGTTAGTACTAACAGCTACATAAAACACTGAGTTAGGTGACGACCATAATAAAAACAGCCCAGAGTGTCATGCTAAATTAATGTCACCTCTACTAAACCATAGCACCCCAAGTGTATATAGAGGTATATGTAAGCTTATTCAAGCTCTTTGTTCTTTGGAATATTTAATGCTAGAGTTTGTATTTACTAAATGGGCTTACATATTATGGTGGGGGCCTCTGCACATAAGGACTGCAAAAATACTTAACTTGGTTTTATTATCTTTCCTTTACTTCTCAAATGAAACCAAATGCATACAAAGCAAAGTATCAGACTCACTGTTTGTTTTTGGGTTTTGTTTTTGGTGGGACTAGGGTTTGAACTCATGGCTTCTCTTAAAGTGGGTGCTCTACCATTTGACTTGAGCCACACCTCCAGTCCAGTTTGTTCTGGTGATTTAGGAGATGGGGTCTTGTGAACTATTTGCCTGGGCTGGACTTATACCATGATCCTCCTGATCGCAGCTTCCTGCATAGCTAGGGTTGCAAGTGTGAGCCACTGGCACCCAGCTTAATCTTATTCTTAAAATATCTATATTTCTCCATATTTTATATAAGGGAAATAGTACATATTAATTATTACACATAACTCATAGGACAACTGTTAGCAGTTCATGAAGTTTTTAAGCATGCAAGATGGCACAGTGCAGTGTATAGTCACATCTATTCTGGGTATCCATGGGAACTGGTTCCAGGACCCGTGGGTACCCCTGAGGTAAAATGGCACTGTCTGCACATTTAACTACACACCCCCTCACTTTAAACCCTCTCTAGATTGTTTGTAATACCTAACATAATGTAAACACTATCTAAATACTAAAACCATTTAGGGAAGGACGACAAGAAAAATGTCCATACACATTCAGTACAGATGTACCTGTTTCTCAAATACTTCTGATTTACAGTTCTTTCATCCATGGACACAGAACCCATGGACATGGAGGGATCACTGCAAATGATGAATTCTTAGTTTTTAATGGCTGCTTTCATAAATACTGGCCATACATAAAGTGGACCTGGAATTTTCTTCCGAAAGTAAACAATCATCCCTGTGTAAGTGCACCACAATTAGTATTTACTGACTGAGGACAGTGTCCCCATTCTACTGAATGGGAAGCTGCAAAGCAGGATGCAGACAAGGCTCCACCCGCGGAGCGAGTGCATAATGTGCTCAAACTATGACAAGGACTGCGAGGACACCAGGGTTGGGTGCCAACAGATGAAGATTATAGATGTTTGTCTTTTTTGCTTTTAGTTTAACTGTATTTTTAGCTTCAAAAAATAAGAACATCATGTATGTAAATGAAAAAATGAGATCTGTTGAAACTATTCCAGGAATGGGGGCAGGGAGGGATAAAAGGGAACAATGGAGGGTGTGAATACAAGTATGATATATTTGATGTATTATTAGAACTTTTGTAAATGCCACAGTGTACCCCCAGCACACCAAGTAAACAAATAAATTAAATAAGTACATATTGGTTTTATGATAAGAAAAGTTATTTTTCAATACAAACTTAACTAGAATTTGTCTACAGTTATAGAAAAACATCTCATTACTAAGACATGCAGAGAATCAACCTACCTCCTAAAAGAAAATGTAACGGTGGTACTCAAATTACAACTGTCAAGACTTATGAGACTGTATTTTCTCATTCAACTGGTGCTATATGTAAAACCAGCACAGCAGTTAAGAGCTGAAAGGAGCCGGGAGCCAGTGCCCAGATTCAAGTTGTAGCTTGCCACTTCTACCTGTGAGGCCCTACTGGAGAAGCCTCCACATCTCAGACTCTGAGCTGAAGTGCAGATGACAACAAGCCTACCCCTTGGGGCCATGTGTATCACACAGTACAGTGTACCAGCAGCTCTGGACCCATGGTTGGTGCTGTCACTAGGCCTCACTACCAACCTCACCGGAGACTTCAAATGTGAGACACACAGATGCACCACGGCTAGCTGGTTCTTTAGCTTATAAAACCAGTTTCTGAATAATCTCAATAATGCAATCATAAATATAAACACAACTTTGCTGCTTTTGAAAATGTATAAGGCATAACTCCTGCAGTAAAGTACCCCAATAGCAAGTGTCCAGTACAGTAACTTTCCACACATGACATGCAGACCCTATGACCTGGCATGTCAGGTCAGGACGCAGGAGCTCCCCAGAAGCTTCTTCATGCTCCACCCCTGCCATCAGTCCCTCAAAGGATGGCCTCTGTGCTAACCTCCAACACTACAGACTAGACCACCTGCTTTTGAACTTCATAAAAACAGACTGGTGCAGTGTGCACCTTGTCTAATTTCTTTGATGCAACCTGAGGTCTGTGAGGTTCGTCTCACTCTTTCCATAACTGTGCATGTAGCTTCTGACTTATGAAGAAGAGTTACTTTTTGCCATGGTCTGCATGTTCCTAAAATGTGCTGAAACCTAATTTTCATTGTGGTGGCATCAGGACACAGGACCTACTGGGAAGTGATTAACTCACAAGGGCTCAGCCTCCAGGAGCGGGTTAGTGCCTGGGGAGAGGTAGAGAATGAGCTTAACCTTGTGCCTTGCAGCCTCCTGCCAAGTGAGGACACAGAGTTCCCTGCCGCCATGTGAGCACACAGTCAGAAGCCTGCCAGACACCACGTGCACTCTGACCTGGGACTTCCCAGCCTCCAGAACGACAAGAAATGGATGCCTGCTCTTCACCAATTAGTCTCAGGTACTTTGTTACAACAGCACAAATGGGCAAAGACACTTTTTTTACTGTACTTTGTTGGAGTCAGATCCCCAGTAAGCACAAATTAGCACTATGGCCTTGCAAAGCGCATCTGTGCAGTTAGGTCAGGAGCATGGTCACCATGAAGGGAAGGCAGGGAGACTGAGGAATGAGTAGAAGCTGGCGGGAGAGGGGCTTCTGTAGGCTTCTGGGTGCTGCTAACATTCTGCTTCTCAAACTGGACATGGAAAAACTGTGAAAATCCATCAACTAAACAGTTTTAACCTGTGACTTTTTACTGTCTATTATATTTCAATAAAAAGTTAAAAATCTAAAAATGGACCGATTAAATCAAAACACTTATGTGATCTGAGCCCTGTTAACATCGCTCTTGCTGAGGTGTTGTTACACCTACTCCACTTGCTCCTTCCTGAGACAGCCCTGGATGGACCACCTCTCATTCATGTGATCCTTCCCTGTTAGTACCACTGTAAGCACTGCATGCTTACAGGAAAAGATCTGAAGCTCGGAAAAAGCAACATGGACATCAAAGAAGGCTGGAGAAAGGAACTGGAATGGAAGGAGAGGTCAGTGGCACATCATCACCTGAAATGAACTGGGCCTCTACCACCTGTGCAGAGAGGAGACATCACCCAACTTTGCCAAAGAGGTGACAAACTCAAGAGACTTCAAATAAACTGCCTGGGCTCACACGCAAAGAACAGCCTGGGAGTCAGGCTCTCCTGTCACGCCCCTGTACCACCCGCCGTGAACTACAGGCAATCATTTAAGATGTCTATACCTCAAAATATTTAAACCTATTTTTCAGAGTTTCAATCGTTCTTAGGCTTTCTTCATGTTGCTTTTCTTTAGCTGCCAAAAGGGACTTCAGCTTTTCTCTCTGAAATGGAAAGGAATAAAGACAGAGTAAATCATCCTGTGCTTGAAATTGGGTTAAAACATGTGTTTTAGAAAAAGTGAATCAGAATTACTTTGAGGACTGGAATTCATGAAATCTCCAACCTGGTCAACTTTAACTATGAGTATAGTTGCTAATTTATAAATATACTAACAAAACAAGTAATACATACAAAAATATTATGAAAAACTCAAATTTCTATTGTAATAAGTCAGTATTTTTAGACATTCTCCTTATAATATTTAGAATTTTTCATCTTTTCACAGGCTTCAGAGACAACTATATTCAAAACAACTTTACAGTCACATACAGATTTTTTTTCTCTTTAAGCAATAATCAGAAATAGAATACTGGTCTCCACCTCAACTCTGGACTTAAATCTTTTCTACAATACCATCCTTGATTTACAAAACATTTTTGTAAAATAAGATTCATCATCCTACCTCACTTTCCAGATCATCAGCAACCATTACTTCCTAGATTTAAGAAGAAAAACACCTTAGTCTTCGAACATGTAAAGGCAGGAGCATGGCAAACATCTAAAACGACTGGCTTGAGAAGGAAATGTCCGTGTGCTACCAAGTCTCACTAATGTCCGAAGAGCTTTGCTTCCTTCCCACCAGGGTCTGCTTGCTCTTCCTCCTCATGTCTTCTGTCTTCTCTGTGGCCTCATTCAGGCCTCTGATCTCATCATACAACTAAACGAGTGATAATTGCTTTCTTCTGTCCTTAAAGCTCTTTTTCATATACATGGTATGAGCTTTTTTATTGTGAAGCGTCATAGACACAAGTGCATTCACTGTCCTATTTTGATGCTTTTAACCATTATTTAGAGCACAATAAAAAATAAACTCTGTACCACTATCCTTGCATATTTACTTAGAAGAGATGTATACATAGCCTGTGTTTCTAAACTCCAAGGTTAACCATACGTGTTAAAAACAAAATTGTTGTTTTGTTGTTGTTCACAGCTGCTGTGTCATTATCTGTCCTACAGGAAGCCCCTTGATAAGGGTCCTGTCCATCAGCCTGGAAGCAGACCCTTCAGCTCTTCGGACATTGAAGCTACTACCTCATGAGGGGCCTAGCGCCAGACCTCACACTAAGTCAGTTCAGCAAGTATATGGGATAGGAAACACCTTCCAAAAACAATGACTTTGGATGTCTTACATTTCCAATTTTTTTACAGAGAATATAACACAGACCCCCTGCCTCTGTGATTCTGCTAACAGCGCTTTCTGGACCAGTTCCTGACTCCCTCCATTCCGTGAGAATTCAATGGGAGTAGCATCTCCTGCAGAAAGGTCCTCTCTCCCCTGACTGTCCCTTATACTGGCCTCACTTGTCAGCTGGCTTCTGCTACTTCACATCTAACACTAAAGGTTTCAAAGTGAAGGACTCAGGCCTCGTCAGACACAACTGTCCTCATGAACAAGGACATGAACTAGATTTTCCCTCTTGTAGCACCCAGACTTGAGGTGACAGGATTTTCCTCCTGTAGCACACTGATTTGAGGTGACATGCAGTGGGTAACGATCTGCTATTGGCGATGGCTATAGCTGGTAAATTCTTTTTGAATTTTTAAATGATGCTCATTACTTACCTCATTCAGTTGTAACTGTAAGCCATTGACTTTATCCAAAAGTATTCTCTGTTCTTGCTGAATTTTTCTCAACCTCTCTTTCAAATCTTCATTTTCAATCTCCAGATCCTTAACAAATAAAGAAAAGAGATCATCTTAACAAAGAGCAATGCTTACGGAAGAAATTTTTAACAGTGCTCCACTACCATATACAGATACATATGCAAAAGCGCTTCGAGTACAAATGATACAATAGCTTCGATGAAACTTAAGTAGCTGAAAATTCACACCAGTAATAAGACTATGTCCTGTGACAGCTAAACACAACATATGCAGCAGAGCAAATCGCTGCGATTCCAGTAAACAGAAGCAGCAGGTGGAGCCAGTCAGGAAGCAGAAGAGCCCAGTTTTAACTTTGCCTGAGACCGCCAAGCCTATGACACCACGCCAAGGTGTCCCTTCATCACTGAGCAGGGCTTTGATAAAACACTGAAGTCTACTTTTTAAGGCTACAGTTCACTATCTTAAGGCTACATGGTAAGGTAAGAAACCTGAATAAAATGCTTTTTTTTTTTATTATATTGAAAACAGTTACTCAACTTAAAATTTAATGGTATATCAGACATAAAATACAATAGTTGTGGGTTCTTCAACATAACTGAATAATTACTTTGGGAAAACTTTGAACAACATAAAAGCTGAAAAGCACTGTGTGGTTAGTTTAGCAGAATTATTTTTCTTAATCAAAATAAAGATTACTTAAAGTTCAGATCTGATAACCATCACTTTTACAATTAATTTTCCAAAATGAACATAAATATTTGGTTTCCATCAAAAATGCATTTAAATCAACAGCTATGAAGTTATTAAATTAAAACAATACTTTCTACACCACCCTGCCAATGTTGCAGCATTTACTCATCTAACACTGACTCAAACACTCTTACAACAGTAGGTTCTCACAGAAGGGACTGGGGAAGAAAGCCATCACAGCCTTGGACAAGTGGCCCCTTCCCCCTCCTCGCCGCTTCACCCACTTCCTGCTCTCCTAGCCTCCTCAGCCCACTACAAACAGTGCTGGAGTTCTCCTTAGAGACACCAAGTGCTTTTCCCTTTTACCTGCATGCTTTGATGCTCTCTCGGGCTACACTTCATGTTTACTTCCTCTTGCGTGTGTGTCAAATTCCGCTTTGGTCAAACATTAAGGAAAGACAAGTTAACATGTGAGGATATGGAAAAATTTTCCTCAACACAGCGTAAGTGCTTTGCAGTTTATCCAACATCTAATTTTGCTGAATATAACACAAGGTGGCAGTATTTCCACTTAAAAACCCCTGTGATACAGGTTTCAAATAAAGTACAATTTATTTTAAAACACTAGTAATTTTTAAACGTAAGGACTTAAAATCACAAAATTTTAAAAAGGAAAATCTGTGCTGGCAGACTGCCTCAAGGGGTAGAGCCCTGCAAGTGTGAGGTTCTGAGTTCAAACCCCAGTGCCACCAAGAGAAAAAAAATTAAATTAAAAAATTCATAATTACCACTAGTGACACCAATGCCATTAAATTAAAAGGTGTGAAAATATCCATAGTAGACAACTGACTTATAGATTCAAAGCAATCTCCTCCAAAATAAAAATACCATTCTAAAAAAGACAAATGTATCACGGACACAAAAGGTGAGTTGTGCTATAAAGATCACCACTCCCAAAGGAAGAATTTAGTTAAAAAACAAAACAGAAAAGGTGGGAAGAGGAAATCACAATAAGCTGGAAAGACAAGAGGGTCCTTTACTTCTCCCAGGCCTGTCAGGGACTCCAGGCACACAGAGCTCTCTAAATAACTCCAGGGTGGAGTTCTGTTCTGTACACTGATTGCTTTGAAACTTTACTCCAGCTTAGAGACTGCTTTAACAACACAACCCAGTGATCTAACAAGAGAACAACCAACCGTGCTTTTCACCCAAATGGTCTTTAAATCTCCAGAACAGTAATTTAGAAAGCAATAGCTCTCTTCTTGAGTTCTTTCTAAGCTATTGTTTTAATTCTCCAAAACAATTTTTTTTCATGTTTTGTGAGTTTTACACTATCACTCTAATGAATTTGGATAGAGAATCAGAGGGACAGGTCCCATTATAAAGAGGCTCTGTGTCCTGTAAGACACTCAAAGGCCTCTGTTACATGAGTCATTATTTCAGGGTTCTGAGGAAACATTAGTTTTGGTGCAAACCACTTTTCTAGCTTCCTTCCTTCTACCAAAAGGCTGTTCTACACCAAGTAGAGGCCAACCTCCTCACACAGCTCACTTCAGCACATGGATTTCATGCCAGCCAGAAATCCTCATGGACTCACTGCCTCCACTCTCTACCCAGCCCACTCAGACACACTAAGTCAACCCCATCCACCAAGACCAGTTCCTTGGCAAATTCCTTAAAGAATGTGCCTTGTACCTTGGCTCCCTAAGCAAGGCCTGCCCCCCTGATTAGGGGCTCATACCCTGCCTTCTGCTGGACCTACAGTCCTGGGCAATACATATCCAAAGTTCAGCTTAATCCAACACCTGGTAACAGGTGCTTCTTCTCCAGCTTCCTCCACCCTGTGCACACTGGCCTTCCTTCTACTGTCCATGGTGAGGCTTCTCCCAGAGGCTCCCTCCTGCCTCGCACCTTCATCCTGTTTTCCTTTACAGCATGCGCTATGACTGACGAGTCACTTGCTTATTGTTCATCTGCCTCAGGAACCTGAGGGCTCCCTGAGGGCAGGGACTTTGCACTACAGTGTCCCAGAACGTAGGACAGCAGCTGGCACACTGCAGGTGTCCAGCAATCTTCCTTTTACTGTAGGGTCCTTGATCATGAAGCTTACATGTCCCTAAGCATGAGAATAAATCCCATCTGTGGCAGGTGCTCTATTAGGGTATCCAATAACAATGGAAGCATGGGACCTAGCAGTCTTGCTGTTCTGGTAAATGCTAACTCCTTGTTTTCACTCAGGTACTTCCTATGCCACTGAGCAAGGCTCTGTTTCCATATTAACAGCCAACGCTCCATTTTCAATAGCTATACATTTCAGAACTCTCTCAGCTTCTATGTGAGATGGCTCAGACAGACTTACAGTGTGTATACACTTTAACTCTACTCCTCTTAGGCAATCTGAGGAACAGGGAGAAGTGAAAACAGTCACTCCAGATGAAAAGTACCACAGACATGATCCATGCATGAATGTATGACTTAATTCTGATGGAGGGAAGAGGAAAGCCAGCTTTGACTGAGCTTTCAGACTCAGGCAAAGGTAGAGAAATGGTGCGAAATGGTGATGGGAGTTGCTTGGAAGGTACCTGATGACTTTCTCCTCAGGGATGAAGTGCCCCGGTTCCTCACTAGAGAAAAGCTGAGAGCCTGGAAGGGAAAAGCCAGCAGAAGAGGAAGGCTGCCTACACTAGCTTTGGAGCCAGAGTGTCTTAAACCAACCCCACTCTAACTGAGAGAGAAGAGGAGAACACAAGACACAAACCCAGGGTTAAACTGACTTCTTAATAAAATTAGCATAAAGTATGACTTGTGGGGTAATATGCTATCTTTTAAAGGCAAATCCTCAATTAAAAATGCTCAGAAAAAAAAGACTAAGAAGAAATAAAAACGTTAACAATGGAACTGAAGCCACAGCACACACAACATATAATCAGTCCTGAACTCTGGTTTTGGTCAGGCATGAGGCTGCATGCCTGCAATCCTAGCTAGCACTGGGAGGCTGAGGTAGGAGAACCTCAAGTTCCATTATGGGCCACACGTAATGAGTTTGAAGCTAACCTGGGCCACATAGTGAAACCCAGTCTAAGAACCCACCAGTTTTCTTCATCTCTTATTGCACTAGAAGAACTTTCAGAACAGAACACACTTGGCTCTGTTGTTAAACTGGAAAAGGAAAACTGCCTGTGATCTCCAGGCTAACTTTTGTTATTTCAGAATCTCAGTCATGAGGACGGGACCTCACTGACTATCTGAGAGACAGCACATGCTAAACTCAGAACAGTTATGTGTAATTGTCAACCACTTTTACTAAGATTATTTAAATTGCACAACACAGAAAACTTTTAAACATTAAAATTAAGACCAACCTGTTGCAAAGATGGTCCTTTCTTCCAAAGTTCTCTCCCTGAAGATTTAAAGAGAAGAAACCAGTGGAACAACACAACAGGGTAACCTGGCAGGTATGCATTCCCTAAGCATATACGCCGTTGAGGAAGCTTTAAAGTTTCCTCTAAAGCTTACTTCTTAAGTTTTATTTTAAAAAATTATGATTAAAACAATAGTGAAATAACATTTTTACCTACCAAATTAGCAAAGGTTATTTATTATACAATAATATTAAGGTAAGCTGAAAGGCAACTTGCTAATATACTCCAAAAGCTTAAATAAATGTCCTAAAACCCAGTGATTCGATTGCTAGGAATTGATCTTAAGGAGAAAATAAAAATATGCCAAAATATTTACATATCAGGACATACTGGTGAAAAACTGTAAATAACTAAACACCATCTGTAGAAAATAGCTTTGCTAAATGCGATTTATAAATGAACTCTTCTGCATCAATGAAAACTATCTGAGGGAAAAGTCTTCAAACTCATCACACAGAAAGTTAAGTTATGACAGCGTTATCAAGGACCTCAATTTTGTGGATCAGGAAGACTGAGTTACACTTCAACACGCTGACCAAAGCTCTGTAGTGGTGGGGTGAATGGCTAGATTCATTCATCTTCCGTATTTTCCAACTTCTCTTTCATAAACAGAAAAATACCTGGCTCAGACATTTAATGCACATCAGTTGACTATTTTACATGCCTGTGTAAACAATGATTGTTTCTTCATAAAAGTTAGGAGCTTAACTCTTCCTTATCAAAAATACCTATATAATTTCTTTTGTGTCAATGAAAAACTCTTAGTAAAGTGAGCTGCTTCTTTGTCCTCAGTTCTTGAGCTCACCCGGGGGGAGGGCTTACTTGATAAGCTGGACTCTATGTGACAAAGGTGCCGGTACCTTTGCTGGTATTTTCTGACGCAGTCTTCAGTAGTGTCAGAATGTCCAGGTTGTCACCGATTCTCGCATAGTAAGGACTATCATGGCCAAGGGCGTCCAGCAAGCTTACATCAGCACCATTCTTAATTAAGATTTCTACCGCGTCTCTGCAACCATACTCACAACCCAGCATGAGAGCAGTTCTAAAAGAAAAGCGGAAGAACACAGGACCTTGAGGAAAATCCAAGGAAACACTCCAGAAATCCCGTGTCAGAACCCCTTCTTCCACCTTAAGAAGTTCTGCTTGCCAAAGACAGTTTACTTTATACTGTTATCTTGTATTCTAAACTTCATCACATTCATAAAAATATTTGCATTGTGTCTAGCAGGCAGAATGCAATCTTCTATCATCGTACATACTTTAATTACTGTGACCACCAAACAAACCTAGTTCACTCTAGTTCTTCAATGTCCTACAGATAATTACTTCCAAAATCTTCCACAGCTAATATGGTGAGCCATCTGCTCAAAAGCCAACTATTCGAGGTCCCTTCATGAGTTGAACGACATCCTGCAAAGCCCCTTCTCCCAAAGGAGTGTCAGATTCTGCTCATGTTCCCTGGCTTCGGTTCAGACTTGTCTCAAATAAACTCTTCTTGGCCATGCCCGCCACCAGGGACCACTGCTTTATTCTGCCATCATAAACCCATTAGCACTTAAAACATTTCACAGCATGTTAGCGAAGAGCAATCCTGCAACAATACAACTAAACCGTGGGAGAAACTTAGAAGGATCCTAGAAATTATTTTATCGGATCCTAGAAATTATTTTATCAGATCCTCTATTTTTATTGCAGAGGGAACCAACACCTAACAAAATAAAGTACTTGGACCGTGTCTAACTCTGCTTTTAATTGTGAGTGATGGATTTCACAAGAAAACTTCATTCTTGCCTTTACTCTTCTATATAGGCTCTCTTTCTTATATAACCATCCCTCCCTCCATCATTGCTGGTATAAAATTCTGTACAAAATGGGTGTTACTAAAGTTTTTGATACTAGGTCAAAAATGCTAAAGATAAAACAGTAAAAAACCCTGAATACAGTGTCAAAACTTTTATTTTACAAACCATCTGCTGTCAAGTCTACACAATCTCTATTACCCTACTTCACTGGGTTGCTTTTCTTGTTGCTTGTTTTTGTTAACTTCCAATGCAAAAAAAAGTGCTTTGAAAAATATAAGATCTAGGAAAATATAATGCATTATACATGCATCAACCAGATCATGCCTTTCTGACCCTACAATTTAATTTTAAAATCAAATTATTCTAATTATGTTTAGAACCAGATAATAGTATCTGCAAAAATGAAGTAATATGAAAAAGGTACTTTCTTAACCACATTAATGATTTAATTGCTTAGGAATTTCCTCCTTTGAGGTGTCTGAACAATAAAAACAGTAAGAGCTACAAGATCTGACATCTAAAGATATCAGATTTTTTCTTCTTCCAACGAACTACAATGGGATACATGTTTAGAAGAGTAAAATCAAATAAAAAGAAAAGAACACTTTAGTTGTAAACCAATGTACTAACTCAATTAAGCAGGGGTTGTATTTCTGATCCTTGTCATCAGAAACTGCATTATAGCAAGTACCACCATACAGTAAGACCCAGAGAAGGAGAGGAGGGGTTATGGATAGATATGACTGGAGCATGGTGCTAAAATGCATCAAACACAGAAGGGAAGCATACATGCACAGTGGACTCAGCCCTGGCAGAGGTAAGGAGACAAGTTAAGAAAATCTAGACATGGAAGGTTTCAGGGCACCCAAGAACCGCTTTCATCCCAACAGACTCACAAGTGAAGAAATTTCATTAAAGGTCTTCGCTAAAATCACTGGGAGTTCTCTTTCCTGTGGTTCCCTAACCTAATACTGCTTTTACTCAGCACCATCCTGTCATCTTCCCCTAGCTCCCTCTCCTTCCCTCTTCAGCAGACAAGAAGAAAAGGGAGAAGTAATGCTAACTCCCAGGAAGAGGAGAGCCACAGGGTGGCAAGGCCCAGTCCCAGCAGCAAGGTTACCTAGGAGCCATGAGAAAAGGATTACCTGTTCTGTTTGTCCCTGGAATTAATTTCCGCCCCTCTATCTATAAGCAGTTGGCATATTGCTGGCCTACACATCTGAGTCGCCAGAACAAGCGGTGTCCGCCCATCCTAAGCAACAAGAAAAATAAAGGAACATCAAGACGACAAATCTCTCCAAATGTAAACTTAGGATACATGAGCAGAAATGAGAAGAAACAAATTCACTTACTATGTCTTTGGCATTCACAGAGGCCCCATGGTCACACAGCAGCTGGATGCTAGAAGGACAGTCTGCCATTGCTTTAAAAGACAAAGGAAAAGGATGAATATAGGACACATGCATTTTTCTAGGTCCACAGAAGGCAGCAGCAGTTCTTCAATCTCTAACCTAACAAGCTTCACACCCTTTACTCCACCACATCACAAGCATCAACTTTCTATCTTAAAAGGGACCAGACAAGACCACCTTATAATTTCTCAGTCATATTTAAGGGATATTGTGATCCTTACTACTAATCTAAGGGTAAAGACAGATAATAAGAGTCCAACTTAAATTTTCTACTTACAGTACATTTTTAAATATGGCTATGACTGCCTTGATTCTTGAAGTTAGCTCAGATTTTTAAAGAATCATTCATTTTTGTAGAATAGCCACAGCAAACAAAGGACAAACCATAAAATTCCTGTTTCCTTTCAAAAGCAGAGGTTGCAATACCTACCCTTTAACAATGCAAAGTAAGTCATGCTAAAAATTACACTGTAAAATCACTTAATTCATATTTACATTAGGAAAAATGTTTGTTACATTCATAAAATAAGATCATTTACACTCCCTATGAGTTGACAGAAATAATTGGCATAAAGAACACATAAATCAGCACTCTTTCCCTTGGTGAAACTAAATCAAACATACAGAAGAAAATCAAGAAAATTTTCATTTCCTGTGTCTCTGTCCCCGACAATCTTTTATCTAAAACGCATGATCAACTTAATAAGAAGAGGAACTGAACACATTCATTCAGAAATTATAAAATGTACAACTACCCAGGTCAAACTATAAATGAGAACAAAGAAAAGAAAAGCCTAATAAATTCCAGAGTTAGAACATATTAAATACATAAAGTCAGAATTAAAGGTTGTATGGTAGGGAGTATTAACTATTTGCCAAACTTGGACCACCCTTTCTTCTAAGACAGTAACCACGTATTCTGGGCACGTGGTAACTCGGCTACAGCTAGGTGTGGCCACGTGACCAGGAGCCTACCAATGGGATCTCTCAAGTGCTACCTCCAAATCTCAACCTTAAAAAACTGGTTATGCTTCTGGCCACAGTGTGTTCCCTTCCTGTAAGTGGGAACAAAGAAGCACCTGGTACCAGCCTCAGACTTCAGGTTGAGGACTACACTAGAAGATGGTAGAACCACAAAGTGGAAGAGCTCCAAGTCCCTGAGTGACCCCATGGGACAGAGCCACCAGTCAACGTAGACACCGGGTCTGTGACAGGAAAGAAGAGTGTGTAGTTTTGGAAAGCCAATGTTATTTTATGGTTTATTTCTTATAGCAGCCTAGTCTTAGCTCCAACAAAAACAAAAATTGCTATCAAGTGGGGTGCTACTGTAAAAATACCTAAAATACACAGTACCTCTTTAATGGCTGAGTACTAAGTGGTGAGTAAGCATATTTCAGGCTAGAAATCTGGTGACTGTTAAACTGTGTCCACATATTTTACAATGCTACCACCTGTGATAAGTATAGAAAGAACTCCACGTGATTACGGAGACTTACATGAGGCAATAGAAAGAGCTGTATCAGCAGCAAATCAGTGTACAACTGCAGCTACTTGTGGTTTTTAGCAAGGTATTACAGGAAAGAGAAAAGCTCGGGCAAGAATTAACCACTACGTGAACTGAGCTGGACGGAAATGGACAGCACTCAGGTATCTGAAACCTCACAAGTATGGTGAAGCACATCAAACAGGACACAACAACACTGTGCTGCTTTTTTGTTCTCAACAAAGGACTCAACTCAAGGACTTTGCTCAACGTCCTTCTGATGGTAAAAAAGGAAAAGGGGAAAAAAGAAAAGAAAAAGATAAAGTCCTGGAATAAAGATCAGATTGAGGATGTTGCATACAAATTCAAGACTATTTCAGATGGCCTTCAAGTAAGGAGTCATGAAAACCAAGTAGAAAATCTTAAGTCTAGAAATAGGGGCAAGAAATAAAAGAAGACTAAGAATCGTATGCCCAGAAAATCACTTTGCATGTGGTTCTTGGCACACAGAAGTGGCTGGCAAGAAACCGACCCAACACCAACAAGGTTTTGAGGCACTTGCTTTCTTTGCAAGGCCAGAGCCCAGCTGGCTAAGACTCCTCCCTGTGCCACTCCTGCACAGAAGGAGCTTCCTCCAACCTGACTCACATGACTCTGGAGAACAATGGGTCAGTCTGACTCCCCCAGAAGGCAGAGCCAGGAGCCACAGAGGACAGGGGAGAAGGGATCCCCAGAAAACAGAAGGGGAAGTGGCAGCAGCCAGGAGAGCTACATAAACTCCAAGGTCTCAGCAGGATTTGATTCTAGTCACTGGCCAGTGACTGCTGTTCCGTTCTCCCCTTCTGAAGGGGAGCCTTGATTTACTTACCCTGTTCCTGCTCCCTCACTTCATACTGCAAGGTATACAAATCTTCTCTTTCAATTTACAGACTATTGGGCCACAAGGGCCAGCCACCTCAGAGCCAGAAAGAAAACTACACATCATCCAGAAACACTAGACTCTGAGCTGGATGCGTAACCAAATTGGTTTGTGTGTCCTCTCCCTTGGGAAGGGGTGAAGGGTCTTATATGTGGGGAGCAAGGGCTACAGAAATATCTGCAAGGCCAGAGATTGGACTGCAGCAGAAACTGCCACGTTTTCCCAAAATCTGCTCTCCCCTCCACTATGTGAGAACGTGACTCTAGAGTCTCTGCATCCATCCAGAGCCCAAATTTCTGAACCTCCCACAGACATAAAAACAGTCAACTGACATTGCTCTAGCCAGGAAATGAGCCGGGGTTCTCTACCACTTCCAAGTCTGAGCGCTCGGTGCCCTGTGCTCTGCTCCTACTCTGCTGGCTGAAACATGGACATGACGATGACGGCGTTTCATTCACAGTTCAGGGTGATGCCCAGGGGAAAAAGGAGCAATGACAGGAAAGAATTCATTCAGGAATAACCACAAGTCACCTGCCAGCCTATACCACATGCAGCAAGTGTTTGATAAGCTGATACTAGGGTTCTTTTGGTACAGCAACTAATTACTCTCCATCTTACATGTACTAAACAAATACAAAGATTTAAGTTGGTCAAGTTGTACCAGTTTTAAATATAAGCATAACAAAATTCTTGGGAACGTGGAGGGGTTCATGGTGAGGTTCAAATGGCAATGAATGTAAAAATGCTTTGCAGACAACACCACTCTCTGTAAAAATAAGAAAATGCACTGAAAAATTTAAATATCACAACAGCACCTAAAATGCTGGGGACGGTATACATGCTTATAATCCCAACACTTGGGAGACTGAGTGAGGAGGATCCAGAGTTTCTGACCAGCCTGAGTTATGTAGCAAAACCCTATCTCAAATATCAAAAATAAATATGTAAAAACCTAAAGTCCAAAAAGGAAAAACTGAAAGAAAATTAAGGTATAAAAATCTGAAGAAGGGCTGGAGGTGAACCTCAAGTGGTAGAGTGCCTGCCTAGCAAGTGCAAAGTCCTAAGTTCAAACCCCAGTGCTGCCAAAACCAAAACTTCAAAAGATCCAGGCTCATGCCTGTAATCCTAGCTGCTCAGTATTGCAAAAAATAAATTGAAGGACATCTGAAGTCTCTTTAATACAGATCACTTTAAGCTTTGCAAGTATTTCTTATAAGTGAAAAAGATGGCAGATCAGTTTCTTTCCTTGTCCTTTAATAAACAATAGTTATATAAACTATAAACATTCCAAAAATACACAAATACCTAACTTCTGACAATGTACTTTCTTTATGACCCCTGAAGAATAAGTCTTTTTTAAAATGCAGTACATTACAGTGATATGAAATCAGTATTTACACAGAAGTCAAAACAATCACCATCAACTCAGAAATTAATAAATGACAGGTATTACTTATGACTTAATTATAATCAATCATTGCCTCCAACTCTATCCTCCACCTCAGCCTCCTGAGTTACTGCAGGATTATTAACTCCATTTCCAAGTGAGAAAAATGAGGTTCAAACATGAATTAGGTACACAAGTTTTTTAGAAAAAGAAAAAGCCTTTCCTCTTTCCCCCTTCTCCTAATTTTCACACACACATGCACGCACAGGCACACACACAAACAGCAGGAGTAAGCTTTATTCATCTTTGTGCCTTCAGTGTGTGGAAAACTATTGGCTACATGAACCCTTCTAAGCTGAACAATCAAATAAACTTCAATTCTGCATATACAAAAATGTCAGTATCTTTATTTCTCCCTGGATTATACAAATGTGTGTGTGTTAGAGCCTTGGGGTGAATTTTCACATCATTTATGTCCAGGTGGAGCCTTGCATACCTGCATCATGAAGCGCCGTCCTTCCCTGCAGGTCCACATGCTCGGTGGGACAATTGTACTGTAAAACACAGAAACTTGGTCATCTGGGGGGAGTGTCACTTCAAAATTCACTCTCCATACTCAAGTGAACAGCCATTATTTCATCTTAAGATACTCCACTTATCAAAGAAAGTGAAGATTCAGATAATCTACTAAATATTTTGACATAAAACAACCATAATATCGTGTAACTGTAAATTTAACAGCACTTCACCCAGCAGGAAATATATGGCAGGTTACAATAGCACAGAATATTGAAGGCATGTTATTGTCTGGACTTTTCAGCATAAGAGTAAATCCGTCCTGCTGTGAAACTGAGCAGCAATATGTGTAACTGCACCCCGTGAAAGCTCAATTCAGCCCAGCAGGCCAAAGGATGATGTGATGCCAGGTTGCAAATTCACCTAATGATGTGAGTATGACGTGGGGCAAGTTATCTATGTTTGTACAGAAATACATAAATCACACGCCCTATTACTTTATCTTATGTCACATTCTAGACAGCAGAAATTCCAGTCTCCAGCTAATGTCAACAGGAAGGTCAAGTCCTTATTGTTTATTTTTAAAGCACTGAGTTATGCAGTTCACTTCCCTGGAGTTCTTGTTCTTATTGTTCACATTTCTTCACAAACAATGGGTAAATCCATGTAGCTAACAGTCAAAGTTACATTACTATTTTCTTTGATCTCAAATTCCAAAATGACAAGAACATGCTGGTTATTTTCAATCAAATAATGAAGCTAGAGTTACAATCGTCTCTACTACCTGTAGAAGCTTTTGCAGGCACAACGCATGTCCGTACTTAGCAGCCAGGTGAAGAGCATTTCTTCCTGTTGAAGAAAGAATTGCAAAAGTGTGGGAGCTCTCATAGAAACAGGACTCTTCTTCCACAATTAGCTGACAGCATACTTCATTTGTAAGCAGGCTTTCAGTGTCTAATGTGTTTCACCTAGCTTGATATAGAGATAACGCACACACCAAAACAGTGACGGTGGTAAGAAAAACTAATCACCCACAGGCACAAAGAGGGGAACCTTGTCTCCGGCACCTACAGCTGGAGAAGCAGTGTCTGAGACAAAGTAGATAAGCTCAATGTTGGCACAGGAAACAGAGGGGAGGAGAGAGAAAAAGAGAATGGAGAACAGGAAAAGGAAAGAAGTGCCAGACTTTATGTGTCATTGCCAGATGGGCCGTGGGGCACCAACAATGGAGAGAGCTTAGAAATCTAAGTCAGAGAAGGCTCTAATTTTTATATCTCTGCTAGAATTCAAAGTGTATTGTGAGACTGTGTCTTTAAAAAAAAAAATCAGCTCAGAGCTGAGGAAATATCACATCCAGCTACTTGAGATACAGCAACAAAAACTCAAAGAAATGCGGGAATTAAAATGTGCAGTTTTGAGGGAAATGCCACAGGGGCAACACCTCATTTCAAATTTACTGTCACCGAAAATAGGAGTTAGGACAATTCCCATACTCATGCAAGTACATATGTATGTAAGAGTGTGTGTATTTATTTTATTATTATTGTTTTTTTGAGATAGAGTCTTTCTATGTAGACCAGAGTGAACTCAAACTCATGATCCTCCTGCCTCAGCCTCCCAAGTGCTGGGATTACAAGCGAGTACCACACCTGACTTATACACACACACAGTATGTGTGTGTACATATGCATATATGTGTGTATGCATACATACATATATTTTTAGGCAAATATCCATATCTGTATTAAAACAGACACTAGAGCAATTAAGAAAGGTCCTTTTCCCAGGAAAGGACAACTTTAGTGACAAACACAATAGTAAAACTAAATCAAAACACAGCTCACTGCAGCATCAACAGGAGAGGAAGCATGAGGAGGGCATGTTGGGATGCGGTGTATGAAGATGTCTACTGAGCTGTAGGTGGGGAGCTCCACCTACATGAGAGGAAAAAGGGCAAGAACCACTGGATTAGCCAGCAAAATGTCCAGACAGAAAACACACAAAAAGGAAGACACACATTGAACTGGAATCAGCACATATACTAGTCTCAAGACTTCTGAAGAAGCTTAAATTTGTAAAATTTCTAAATATAAATGTGCTATCCACTGATGTAGAAAAAGAGTTGAGCAAGAAGCACATTTCTTTCTCTGTTCAAATGTGAACAATAAATTGAGTTTTGTCTTTAATTTAGAATTTGACGCATCCTCCCCAACTCAATTCCCTTTCTAAGTACACTGCTGCTTAAGTCATTTCACACATAGGGTCATGGGACAAAATATTACAGCTGTTAAGGAAAGTCTCTGTTTAGGTCAACTCCTACATTTAGTTGAATAACAAAGCAGAATTACAGAGATCAAAACTGTTAAGAGTCCCAGAGAGGACAGAATGTTTACCCCGATGACAAAAAAAATAACGCTCTGGCTGAAGAAAGGCAACAGCTAAGTTTGAGTCCTCCCAGGTCCATCTTGGATGAGCAAACTGTGCTCTGCAATTTTAAAGGACAGACCTAGGTACCACCAAGGGCAAGCAGAAGACTGTCTCTAAAAATACAGCTGTGCAAACAGAGTGTTCCTTCTGAGGTAGAATGGCTGTGAACACAGCTCTAACTGTGTGCATCTCCATCTCATCTCCTGCAGGCCCCAGCAAGGTGCTGGCACTCAGGTTCACAGCTCACTGGGTCAACATGAAGATCAAGTGAGTTAACACATGCAAGCACGTAAAATGCTCAGCTTAGCAGAGCAGCTACAAGAATGTTATAGAAATGTCAGCTCTGCTTGCATTCACCAGGGTTGTTGACGTTGCTGCTGTTGTGAGGCAGTTAGTTCTCCAGACCTTGCAACACAGAGAACTCACATAGAACAGTATATGGAAACAAACCAAATAGACCCGAAAGTGTCTTCAAAACCCTAGATTTTAGGATCCTGTCAGACTGCTAAGACTACCACTAGCCACAGGTCTCCAATTTATCAGTCCAGTAATCCTTCTCCTAAATGTCTTACCTCTCCCCACGACACCACCTCAGGTATTTAAAAACAGAGCACTTAGGACTTCTCCATTTTAAATCACATTTGATCTGACTGAGAATTCTAGTGGTGGCTGGAGGGTATTGCTCAATGGTAGAGTGTTTGTCTGCATGGGCAAGGCCTTGGGTTCAATCACCAACACCGAAAAAAAGAAAATAAAAGAATCTTAGCAGTGGCAGTGTGTGGAACTTCTTCATGTTTCTTTATTGACTGTGGAGGGAGACATACCTGCAGTATCACTGGTTGTAATATCAATTCCATGAATAAGGATGGCATTCAGACACTCAAGATTCCCCTTAGAGGCCACAACATGGAAGCTAAACAAAGAAAATATTTGTTATGCCACAGAAACTAACAAAGGCGATTTAAATGTTACACTGATATTGTTCTTTATTTTATAAATACACACATTCTTTTTCTTGGGGGGCGGGGAGAGGCACTACTTGTGCTTGAACTCAGGGCCTTACACGTGCTAAGCAGGTACTCTACTATTTGAGCCACTCCATCAGCCAACACACACATACTTTATTTTTTTTTTCTTTTATTATTCATATGTGCATACAAGGCTTGGTTCATTTCTCCCCTCTGCCCCCACCCCCTCCCTTACCACCCACTCCGCCCCCTCCCTCTCCCCCCCACCCCCTCAATACCCAGCAGAAAATATTTTGCCCTTATTTCTAATTTTGTTGTACAGAGAGCATAAGCAATAACAGGAAGGGACAAGGGTTTTTGCTGGTTGAGATAAGGATAGCTATACAGGGTATTGACTCACATTGATTTCCTGTGAAGGCACACACATACTTTAAAGACCACATTAGAACACACACATGCACATACACACACACACACACACACACAGAGTGCATCTCTGATCCAAAACTCTGCAATCTGTCCACAGCAGGCCAATGCATTCTAGAAACATCTCCTTAGAACAAGTGAAGTATCCTAATATTCAAGACCCATAATAACAGAAAAACTATAATATCATTAGCTCTATAATTTATTAGTTCAATAGCAAAAGCACTGAATGCATACTAGAAAGTTTCTATCTGATTATTTTGTTTGAGTTCAAATACACTGAAACTGCTAAAATAAACAAAATTATAGCAGAATGCTGAGGCCAAAGACAAATAAAAACATCCACCCATTCTCTTCAAACTAAACCTGACATAGAAAAAGCCTTCAAAATAAGTGAAAATACACTTATAGGCCACGTAGAACTGGTGCCTTCCTCCTCCCACACAGTGACCAATGACTGCCTAATTCCTGCGCTCACACCTGTATGACTAGCTGATGTCTCTCACAAACAGACATAGAGAACAAGTTTTCTAATAAGCCTGATTAAGAAACTAACTTTAAGCCACCAAGGACCCAAGATGCTAGTTAGCAGAATATTCCACTATTGCTTTGATCATCTCACATTATTAATCTACAAATAGAAATTTTCTGTGTGCAATAAGAAGTGACTAGCACTCTACCAAATCCAGCTTGGTAAGTAGAGTAGGAGTTGGTGGCAAAGGACACTGACTCTGGATGGACTAGAACTGTGGCCCAAAAAAGCAGTCACCACCTAAGGGAGACAGGTGTGATGGCTCAGCACAAGGAACCTGAACTCAGCTGCACTCCGCACCTCACTCTTCACAGGCACTTCTTCCCTGGATACACCATCCCTGAAATTGTAGGACTTCTCCCTCTCCCACCCCTGCCTTTATTATCTATGCAAACTTAGCATTTAAATGATATATAAAGTCAGTATTTATTTTCTCTGTAGCCTATTAGTCTCTTCCCACTCAATTGTAAACTCTGTAACAGCAGAGATTTTTTTTTTGTCTGTTTTGCTTCCCCAGAACCAAGTGGCAGAGAGTGGACCCTCAAATATTTGAATAACTAAATGCTTACAGACAAAAAGATGTAAAAATCTTGCAAATTAATTTCCAGATATAACTCAGTCATGTGACTCTATTAGTATTATGACAGATAAATAAAATGCAAACCAGAGATAAAGCACTCCTGAATAAGGCTGGCTTGCATACAATTTGAATTTTAGGGGAAGAGCTCTTTCAAATAAAAGAAATACAGTATTCCTAAGAGTCAGACTGGTTCTCCTTTTAGTAGAATAATTAAGGCTAAAGATATCCGTCAACTCCTCTGCAACCCCAAAGCAGTGATTACACTACGAGATGAGCCAGAGAACATGTGTGGGGAGAGCTGCTCTCCTTCCTGTGAAGGGACATACCTCCCAACGGTCCTGTATAAATGACCCCGCATCAGATACCACTTTTTGTATGGTTGCTTGTTTTCATTTCTTAGTTCACAAAATTTGGAAGATTTCTTTCTTCAAAATAGATCACAGTGACCAGGCACGGTGGCTCACTTCTATAATCCTAGCTACTTGGAAGGTGGAGATCTGGGAGGACTGAGGGTGGCAATGGCTAGATGTGCCTGTCATCCCAGCTATGAACAAATATGAGGAATCGAGGTCCAATACGGGCATAAAGCAAGACCCAATCTCAAAAATAGCCACTGCAAACACCTGCCCAGCAAGTGCAAAACTCTGAGTTCCACCCCCAGTGCTGCAAAAAAAAAAAAAAAGAAAAGAAAAAAGGAGATCAATGTTAAATGGACATTTGTTACATGGGCAGACATCACAACAGATCTACAATACTTTATTAATGCTGGTGTACTATAAACAGTAGACATGCTTCAGCAAGAAGATGTAGCATTTAAATGTAGTGAAGGAAATAAGGAAATGCTGTATAGGAATACTCCCTGGAAATTAAAAAAGCAACTCTAAGTTTCTTTTTTGAAAAACAAGACATGAACTTCAGCCTCTAATGGAAAATACACATCAACTGGACAATGCTACCTTTTCTAGTTGTCTGAGCACTAGAAAAGCTTCAACAAACTGTAAGATAAGCCTATGCCTGAAGGCATCATTGAGCTGACAAGACAGGGGAACATCACTAGACCAGGATGCAAGGAAAGACAGAGGCCCAGAGATGCCAGCTATGTCTGAGCCACTTCCTCCCTAGAAGCACCTGTTGACTCCAGAGAAGCGTAGGGAGCCTTCTGGCAGCCAGGCTGATAGGGCCAGAAGTGGAACCCACAGCTGTACCTCTAGCAAGTTGGCAAGCAAGGGGCACTGGGGAGCCAACTCCCCAGGGGCTGGGAGCTCAAAGGGCTCCTGTTCACCCTAACAGAGGTAAACAGGAAGGAAACAATCCCTTGTAGTGGCAATGCTAGGCTTAAAATATTTCTCTTTTGTAACCACAGTAAAGTCAAGAAGTACTTGTTTTTTCTGTCTTAAATTTCAAAATTAAAATAAAAAAATCAAAATCAAAATACAGAAGATTTGTAACATGTTCTAAATACAAAATGCTTTAAGAATATAGTTTTTGTGAGTAAATAAAAATGTTTTCTCCTGTGAAGGCAGGAGTTCTACTTCCTATTGTGAAAACCTCAAACATTATCAAATATTTCATACTGGAGTTCACAGTTCACCAAGTAACACCCAATTCTTATAAGCCCAACTAGTAATACAAATAATCTCACTCAAAGCTGAACCTTAGACAAAAAAAAAAAAAAAAAACTGAAAAAATCTCAAGCACCCATTGATCCAAAACATTGAAAGTACAGATTAACAGAACTAAAAAAAAACAGATTTCATTGAAAGACGACTCTGGTAGCAACTGGGGAAGAAGAAACTGGAAAAACAGCATCACAGACATTAGAATTTCACTATTTGTAGCGTGGCTTATGCCTGTAATCCTAGCTACTCAGGAGGCAGAGATCATGAGGATCACACTTCGAAGCCAGCCTGGGCAAATAGTCTATGAGACCCTATCTCGAAAACCCTTCACAAAACAGGGCTGGTTGAGTGGCTCAAGGTGTAGGCCCTGAGTTCAAGCCCCAGTACCGCAAAAAAAGTTTCACTATTTGAAAAGTTTAATATTTAGTAGAAATACCAGAAGAACTCAAACTATGTTTCCTTAGCTACTAAAGTGCTACTTGATACAACTGAAACACTGTAAGCTTAAAAAAAAAACTTTACTGCTCTTAAACACTACTTAAGTTATAGTCAGGCTTTGCTGTCTTCACTGTATCTACGTATCTACACATTCCAAGGTAGTGACCTACATCAAACATTAACTGCTCACTTCCTAACATTCATTTCTATATTTAGTATCTGTTTCCAGTCATAATATTCTGAATAAACTTGTGCAAGCTGAAGGCTAAGGAATGTCAGGAAATGACCTTTTCACCTCTAACTTTGGAAGGGTTTCCACATAAGGCTTTAACTGATATAATTTTAGAGCAGAAGCTACATCTAGCCTTTAACCCAACTTCTTCCCACCCTCAGCAGCAAGAGAAAGGATCAAGACCTGGGATGGGTAGGCAAAAGGCACATGGTTCACAGGTATACAAACAGGAACAGTCCTCTCAGTGACCTAACAGCAAAGGGTGGGCTCGCCACCTGCATCTCCCTGGGCCACACTAGTTATTCTGCCTGCTTTCTGCTCTGAACATTCTCATTTAAAATAATTATCCAAGTGAAAATTCAGAGTAGGAGTTCGGGGGGAAAAGAATAGTTCTCCAGAGGCAGAATGGCTGGTTTCCCGTGCTAGCTCTGACTTTTCATGAGATAAGAACAAGTGACTTAATCTGTAAATTTTTTCCTACTTGTTTTATAGGGTTGCCTAGAAGGTCAAACATGATAAGGAATTTGAAAATGCCCCCAAAAGACCACAGCTGTGGTGTGCCACGGTCTAAACAACTAGACCTGGGTGGTCTGCTTAGTGTTCTCTCTCCAGCTCAGGCATCTTTTACATCGAGAACCAGTATTTGCTTGCAAAATTCCATACTGTGAGTTTTGGTAAAGACTTCTGAAATAGGGAAGTTGAGAACCACAACTCATAAGTTTCACCTGCAGCCCTAGTTCCTCCCACTGGGACACAGTTAATACTTACGCGGATCTGCCTTCCACATCTAGCTTGCCTGGGTTTACTCCCTTTTTAGCAAGGATGGAGGACACTTTTTCCACATCCCCTCTCTCTGCAGCTTTCATCAGCCGGTCATCATATTTGTTCCATTCTGCTGCATGCTACAAGGAAAAAGAGGAAACAGGCAGGCTATGTCAGTAGAATGTGCTAGCAAAGCAGAAGAGGAGAAAGGGAAGCCGCACGTGCCCACTGCATCCCACACTGCCTTCTCTATGCTGTGCTAGCTTCACAAGAATAACAGCTACGAAACCTTCCCCAAACACAGGAACCCAAGAAGCATTTTATATTTCACTTCCAGGTACCGACTACCCTGTGCCAGGCATGACCATGACCAGCTCAATCAGCATGGCACACTAAAATTATCATCTCCACTGCACAGCAGAGAAAATCAAGCCCATGGACATGTGATGACATCAGTGCCAAGCCCACCCTCAGCTTCTGTAGTCTCCAAGTCAGTGTGCCCTTCCTGGTCCCTAGCTAACACCTTTAAATACCTGTAGGCAAGTTGTACACAAACACACACATGTATTCATTATGCTTATATGCCAGGATTTAAAAAACAGTTCCCACAGACAAAACTAAAAAGAAAGACTCTGAAGGATGAAGCTCTTAAACTCCTAAAATAATAGGATTACAGATGACTCATTTTCCTCCTTCTTTTTATATTCAACACATTTTGATTTATAAAAAAGATTTTCAAGCCAGGTACCCTGGCTCACGCCTGCAATACCAGCTATGCAGGAGGCATAGGTAGGAGGATCTCTGTGAGGCCAGACCTTAATAGAGAAACAACTAAAGCAAAAAGGGCTGGTGTTTCAGTGGCTGGAGCATCTGCCTAGTAAGTGCAAGGCCCTGAGTTCAAACCACTATACTATCACAAAAAAAAAAAGTTATCATTTTAACAAAAACTTAGTACACATTTATTTCAAAGGAAGATAACATAGTTTTTTTAATAAGAGAATATATTACAGAACATATATTTTAATTACGCAATACATATTTTAATTTAATATGTGTTTTTTATATTTTAAGGTTATCTTTTGCTTCAATTGGAGAAAATATATTCAAGGCTATCTAAAGTCAATAACTTTGGTCTTTTCTCAGTAAGCAAAAATGTCAGCATGCAGAAATAAGGTGTGAATTTCTTAAAACTAAGATTTTAGCCTATTAAAATATTCTGTCAGCTTACTGCTAAATTCTATGCTAAATCCAATACTCTCTCTAGAACAAAAGAAATCTATGTATTTGTCACATAACTTACAAAGCAAATCCTATTCTCACACAAACTGTAACAAATGGAGAAATAAATCAGGTGCAAATAGGTCCTCCACCTGCTGATCTACAGGACTATTTTATACCTGCTGTCCTCTCCAAACAAGAAAAAAACAATTTTCTAACCAAATAAACCATGTACTCAATAAACACTTGAAACAGAAAATATGAAAACTGAGGATGAACAACATGAACACATACAATTTTAACGATCTCCTGAAATTTAATATTTTAATGGAATCTGGTTCAAGCACCTACACAGACTTTGAAGTGTTGTCTCAAACTAGTTAAATTTGATGATTAACCCATTTCCTCCTAACTTGGGAAGTTCAAACTGCCAGGTGAGTAGAGAATAATGCTACCTACTGGCTTGAAACCCGAAGTGCATTTTTGACAGGCCTTTCTGCCCAGCTGGAGGAGTGGGAGTGGGACAGACCTGTAAGAGGCACTGCCTCTCAGATGCCCAAAGGAAGACGTCATGTTTAGCACACAAATACTTGCTCTAAACCGATAAGTTTATCCTTACAAGTAATTACAAGTCTTTATTTCCAGGTAAACTTGCTGGTGGAGACAGAAGCTATTTAAATCACTACAAGGTTGTAAAATTCCAAAGGAAGGCCTTATTTCAAAGATCCTTGGATGTGATTAAAGTCTCCCATTAGCCTGTGATTTTCAGTTCCGATCCAATGTCAGTTAACAGTAATACTACTCAGTTATCATAATTCCATCCTGTGCTTTCTACACCCGGAAAAACAAGCAAGAACTCATTTGCTATCACTAACTCCACAGGCCAATCAGGAAGAAAACACTTGCACAAAGAAGCCGAAAGCAGTGAAGCAGTACACTGTAGAAGAGGAGACAAGCCTGGGGAGACTCAGGCTCCACCGCCCCGGGGATACCCACTCTGTTCTTAGGAGCACAAGACGCCCAACAGTTCATCCTGGGCAGGATCCGCCAGCCGCCAGTCCCTGGGCACTAAGCTACAAATCCCTGCGCTCACAGCAGGCCGGCAGACGGTATCCTAGGGAGGGACTGTCCCTTGCATGCTGTGCTGCACTTAGCTCGGCTCTCCAGCAGTATTTTCTTCGTCTTCCGGATCCTTGTCTGCCTTCATAACGCTTGGAGTGACGCTCCTTACTGCCGAGTCCGTACCACAACTCCTCCTCTTTCTTAGTCTTTAGAAGCTGTCTTTCAAAGTTGTCCTTCTCAGGGAACCCGCTAGAAACATTGACCAGCCCCACATGGCTGCACACAGGCTGTCTGCATAAGAAGCCGGCCAGTGACTGGTGTGCCTGCCTCCCGCTGGTGCATTCTATTTTGGATTCCATAGGACTGACAGCTGAGTGACACAAAGGAGCAGCTAAGAATACATCGCAAATGCATGCTTCTCCTCTGAGTAATAAATTTCAGGTCTGCTGGAGAAATGAGTCAGTCATGGTGTAAAACATGCTTATTACACCAAAACAACTATGGTGAGCTAATCACAACACTGCTAAGAAACAAATTCGGTTATTCTACAAAACAGTACTTAACCCCAGTTCCGGTCTTAGTATCATTTATCATGAAGTTATAATAGCTCTGACAAACAGAACAGAAAACTCTATTTAAAGCAAATGTGTCACACTTTAAGGAAACGCATGCACACACAGCCACACTTTCAAGTTTTCTCCATTTTAAAAAAGCACCCTACCAGGCTCAGTGTGCACACAGCAAGTCTCAGCTTACACCTGCTGCCAGTGTGTCTCCTGGCCTGTCAGATGAGGAGAGATGGAAGTACTGCCAAGTAGACTGCATCACAACACTCTTCAGCAAATTTTAAACTTAACTCTACCCTTAATTTCCAAGGTTAGTACCCTGCCTGCTATAGCAAGTAAACATTTTATCAGTGGAAAGTCAAATTATCTGGATTCAGTGAATAAAAAAACAAATGAACTGATTAAACACTAAAGGAGGCAGCTACACATTAAATGCTGAGCCAGACCACAGATAAAACTCTGAGGACGAAGTACACAAGTTCCCCACGTTCTCTGAGACACCCACACCTGTACCCATGCTCCTCACACCAAGGCCAGCACAGCTGCAAGCATGGGGTTGTTCTACTTACCACAACAGCATCAGAATAATTTCTATTTCCTCCAAAAAGACACACTCAGGAAAACTGTTTGATGGGAATGTGAAACAGCCCACACATGTGTTTATAGGAAGACAGTAACTCCTACAACCATAGGTCATGTTGCCAGTAAAAACTTGTTATAAACTTCAATAAGAAATCCATTTCCTACTATTGAAATTTAAAAATCAGATCTATATTCTAATTATAAAACTCATAAGGTCATATACCATAAGGCATTGTTTTCAACAATGATTTTCTTCCACACCACATGAGTGCCACAGTGGATTCATCTGGCTGAACATGAAAACTTGGTTGGTCTATTCACCCCCTCAGAGAACATCTGGATAGAACTCAGGCTCTGTCCTATGGTCAACAAAGCTATCACATTCTTTCTAGAAAAAGGACAGCATAGTAAAGAAAATAAAAAGAAGAGGGAAACCTGTAATGAGTAACAAAGCCATATAAGGAGCAGATCCATGACCAGGCAATAGGACCTGTGTGTCCCAGTGTACAATGGCTGTCCTGAGCTGCCGCCTCCCCAGCTGCCTAGCAAGAGCCCTAGGCAAACCATGCCTCTGCTGTCTCCTGTACCCCTAAAGCTCTGCCCTCACTTCATTCGGTTCTTCTCAAATGTCCCTTCCTCAAAAGGGTCTCAGCCATTGCATCCAATCAGCCACTGTGGCTATACCTACCTCTCTTGATTCTCTGCCCTTGACTTTTCTTCAAAGTGCTTAATAGACTCTACCTTTACAGCTGTATTTACCTGTTCAATGACTTACTGCCTGTCCCCTGGAACCGCTCAAACTTGACAAGATATCTGGGGTCTTTTCTATATACATTCTGAAACTGTAAAGCTGATTTCTAAGTAAGTAATTTGGCAGTGTCTAGATTCCTACCCATGTTAATGGCCAGAATCCAAATCTGCTCTGTGAGTCCTTCTCATGGATGACACGGTTAACTAGGTCACATCTGGATGATATTTATTAGCAATGCACTTTCTCCTGTACAGACAACAAATACCAACCCACCTGGCAGACAGGAAGCCCAGTGACAGTGAATGAGCAGACAAACCCCTCCCTAGTCAACAACAGTTCCTCCCTGGCCTAAACCTCCTCCTGTAATCTCTACCTCAGCTCTTTTTCCACTTCTCAAATCCCCCAGGATCCCTCACAAAGTGCTCTAAATAGTGGCTAAACAAAGTTGTGAGTTGAGCATGGTGGATCAGAAGGATGGAGGTTCACAGCAAACCCAGGCAAAAAGCTGGTAAGGCCCCATCTCAACCCATGGCTGGGCACAGGGGCACATGCCTGTCATCTGAGCTACACAGAAAGCATAAATAGGAGGATTGCTGTCCAGGCCAGACCAGGCATAAACACAAGACCTTATCCCCAAAATAACCAAAGCAAAAAGGGCTGGGCATGTGGTTCAAGTATTAGAGAGCCTGCTTAGTAAGACCAAGAACCCTGCGTTCAAACCCAGTAGCACCATAAGTAAATGAATGAATAAATGAACACACTAACTAACACGTCATGCTGATGGGTAAGCCTGGATTCAGGGTCCATCTCTGCCCTCACCTGCTGTGCACTGGTGGGAACAGTGTTCATGCCTTCTAAGCTCAGTTTCCTCAACTACAAAGCAATGGAGCCATCTGTACAAAATCAGTGAAGTGTCTACGAAGGGCTCAGCACTGTGCGTGCAGGTGTCAGTGTCCAAAAC